TACTTTTTCATCAAATTCCTGCCCACTAGCCAGGATGATCTCCAAACTTGGCTGAAAAGTTACCAAGGATGAGTGAAAAGTTGCTTCGGACCTTTTGCGACCGTCCTAATCCTCCACTGCATGGTCACTACTTCTTCTTTATGTCTGGAGACGTCTGGCGTCTCTCGTTAGACAAAAATTAGCGTAGACTATGCCTTCGTTGTTGGTTTCAATTGTAAAAGCGCTACAGTAGATTAGACTAAGAGAACAAAGGTGCCGGCAAGATTTTTAGAAATGCGGCAATGAAGAGCATAGAGCTGAAGGAAGCGTGAAAGATGCGATAGATCGCTCCATCGGTATACTCAGGTCGTTCAGCAAGAACAAGTTTGGTGAAATGAGAAATGGTGAAAAAGTCATGAGGTCCGGAGATGGTAGCCATGCGACAATGACAACAACAGGTGTGACATTGAGCTGTGCTAAGTTGGGCAAGCCGTGCTATCTAGGTGCAAATGTTTGTCATAACCACAAGCAAATTAGCTCGGAAAGCGAAAAATGGCGCAAAATTGATACATAAGTCACCCAGCGACTAGGCAAAAGCAATGAAAAATACACCTACCCTGGTCGTACCGGACAACATAGCCCATTTGGGACGTGTTCCGCCGGTCGAACACTGTCTGCCGGACAATCAACGCCTTCGTCCTCGTCGAAGACATGCGAAGGGCATTGAACCGACTCACATCGAAGTTCTGTAATCGTGTCGTTCACGATAGATCTCTAATCAGGTGAAAAGTAAGTATCGACCTCGCTTTCGGCATTCAAAAACATCACAACATGATCCAGGCTGATGACCACCCTCTTTTACCAATACTCGTTCCATGCCTTGTTCACAAATCGGGACAAATGCCTCACATTTCTGAAATTACATATAGTTTTTGTAAAAATACAGTCAGCAGCGAAATATTACCTGCTGATCACAATGGCAAGTTCCTGGTCTCCCACAGCATTCGCCAGGTGGTGGCGGTAGTATGACGAGACGAGAGTCTGACGGACATTCAGGATGAAATACGACCGAACACTGAGCTTTTAAACATCGCTCAGGAAACATTTCTGGAATAAAGAAATCAGAACTTTTTATTTCAAGAAGAAAACGATAGAAAGACAAAAATTCTGCTTAATTACGAAAAATCTCAAATTTTTCTGAGAAAATTGGAGGCATTTGGAGAATATGAATGAGAGGAAAATCAGATTTTTTTTGAAATGTGAACATTACACATGCCTATAATCAGAAGTATTTCTCACAAAGATGAGATGCGTTGATGCTTCGATTAATCAATGACTTTTGTAAATGGTAATCATTTGACAGGGCTTCGACAGATTTACCAAAATGACGTCAAGAATGCGCTGACTACTTCTTATAACTTCAACGAATTGGAATGGATAGGACAATCCCAAAATATCCTAGGCTCAATCCTTCACGC